CTTCTCCCGTAACTCGTTCGGCGCCCGAGCAGCTAACAGATTCATGAACAAAACAGGTTATGACTCGTAGTTTTGTTAATAAATTAGTAAATTACACTTCAAAGCACAATAAAAACATCTACGCTAATATTTCCTTCTTGATCACAAGTTCACAACATCTTATTACTAGTGTCAAATATGGCGGATCTTGCGCTCCTATATCTTTTATTTTTATTTTTATTTTTAGAGTCAATTGAATTACTTCTAATAAAATATGATAATGGAATGATGTTTATAACAGTGATACGTTATTTTGATTGTATATTTTTATTTAACTTAATAATCATAAACATTTAAACATGTTAATTCACATAGCATTATTCGAAATAGTAACTGCGTAAGAACAAGAGTTGTTTAATGTTGAAGTCAAAGAACTTTTATTTTACGAAAATAGATAATCTTGTTTAATATATTTGAAGTAATGTACTTTAAATATGTGTTAAATATTTTATTAATTTGTTTTCACACTACACACACTTATACCTGTATGTATATATTGCAAAGATTATGTAAGTATTTATTCGATATAAGAGTACACACTGCAATAACACTATACACACTCATGATATAAGTATTTACGTAGTTTATTTTATTTTATTATCTGTTCCGGGACGCATACGTCCGTCACTCTCAATCACTCGGCTAGGGCCCATTGAAAACCAGCGTCACAACCTAGCCTTGGTTGTGACTTTAACTGAATGGGATCCTTTTGTACACGCCACAGCCGCACACATGTCAGTATAGTATTATGCAACTTGTTGTTGAAATGTTTTTACGCTGTTCTTTGTGTTATTTCTGTTTTATTTATATTAGTCTTTGTTTTTGTGTTTTTTTTTATAATGTGGCGTTACAATAAATGGTTTCTATTTCTATTTCTATTTCTATTTTTGCTATTATAAAAATACCTACACTAAAAACACGAAAGAAAAAAATTAATAATAAAAAGAATAATAATTGAATGACGACCTGGCTTAAAGAACTTGTATTAAAACCAAAAATCTTATTTTAAAAAGGCATACTATGATTTGACACATTTGACCAAAAACATATCATATCGAGTTCTTAGGTTTTCGCGATTGTTACACATACATACAACATGCAACATTTCATATAACACATTTTCTTGTCCCTGTCCTGCCTTCAACATTCAGCGACTGCTTTTCATAGACCAGCTCTTGAAAAATATCAGACGATCCCGCCTTCACTAGAGGACATTTTAGTTTGTCCAGAAAATTTCATCCCTACATATGATTTTCTTAACTCTACTCTTGGAAGACTCTATGTCGGTCCAAGTAGCTGTCTCTATACATGTATCTGTATATGTGGAACACCTTTTTCCGACCATTGGTTATGATAAAGAGGGCAGATTAAATTGCTACTAGAGATGGGCAGTGTCCTCTTTACATTTGAGTCTTCTCGTCACCTTGTCGCAAAGTTTGAAAACAAAGTTTTTCAATCAGTCTACTCATTATGACATACTGAGCCGAGACGTGATCACTAACGATACGGTTGGGCCACAAGTTAAAAGATCGATCAAATATTAAAAGACAGCTATAGAAAAGCAGATATACAAACCATATTTGTGTTGCAAAAACGAGTGATTCGTTCTGTGTACCATTTAGTTTCTCGGGTTTCTCTCAGAGAAAAGTTTAGGGAGACTTTTTACTAAATTTTTTCGTGTGCCCGTAAAAATATACATAATTTCATTAAGAAAGAAGGTATTCATAATATTAACCTTAGAACTAAGTCCAAACTTATGGTACCACGATTTCGTTTGACTAAGGTAAACGATTCTTTTATGGGGAACTGTATACGTTTTCACAATAAGATTCCGGAGAATATATTAAGATTATCATTTCCTAAGTTTTTTTAACATATTGTTTGCGGTGGCCAAGATAGCTAGCAAGTCGCGGAAACTTTCCCCAGCTGAATATAATTGTCCACAAGGTCAAACGCCTTCGTGAAATCGACAGTCAGGGGTAACACGTTAGGTACTTACCGTGTACTTATTTGGAAATTGTCGTTTTTGGATCGAGAGAGATTATATATATGGAGAAGTGGCAGTTTTTGTACAGACCTACAGTCCATTACTAGGAATGTAGGAAAATCATCGGGCCCAGCAGGCGAACTGGAGTTAAGGCGACGGATTGCAAGGCGCAGATCGTCCACCGAGACATGTGTAATGCGTACATTAGCAGCATCACTAGCACCACCCGCATGAGCCTCCGCCTCAGCTGCATTTAGCAATGGGGAGTCCGAATAAAAGACAGAGCTGAAACAACGAGCAAACGCAGTCACAGATTTCTGACTCGTTACCGTCGTACCATCATCATCTATAAAATTGTAGCATGACTGACAGCGCTTGCGTTTAGAATTTATATGAGACCAAAAACTCGCAGGGTCGGGCCAAATACCATACTGAAACGATCGAATAATAAGCCTTAAGTGCCTCGTCTATTAAACATTTAATATGGCTTCTATAATATTTGTATACTTCGCGGTTGAAATCCAGTCCCAAAGCCTTATATTTTTTAAGGTGGAAAAATTTAATTTTAAACTTGCCTATAATCTCAGGCTTGTGTCACGGCGAATACCGACGCACCCGGGATAGATACACCAGCACGTTTAATAGGTACATGGTTTTCAATAACGGTGTAGAGCTTATCGTAAAAAGCCTCCACGGCTACGTCGCCTTCCTGCTGGACGAGTACGTTTGCCCATTCCAAGTTGGAAATATTGCGGTACGATCCCATAGTATCTGCTTTGCGAAAATTCCAGTCAGTAAGACAAGATTTTTGATCTATCGGGCCGGGGGACGATGGAGGGCGCGTTCAGCGCGGCATGCGCAGCACTACCTCTAGCGGTGGGTGGTATGACCGGTACAAGTGCTCCGGTCATCGCCTCCTGTAGTACGACATCGTCGCCACTTAAATCTGACAGAACAAGGTCCAGAATACCTCCATAATTGTTCCTTATTTGATTATATTGCTTTAGTCTACAGAATTCAGAAAACTGTTCAAACTGGAATTTAATATGAGCACCACATGAATTGAAATTGAAGTCACCAACGATTACAATATTTAAGGTTGAGTATAAAGTTATGGCGTTTTCTGGGCAAGAGATTCTGTCGCAAAACCGTTTTAACGCGCTCCTGTTCCTGTGGCAGGTGGTGTGCAACACAAAGATCATAAGCTCTATTGGTTAATGACCTGACGACCTAATGTAGGTGTTTTGGGTGATGATGTGAAGTGGCAAGTAAATATTTATAAATGTGAGTTGGTTTTCTGCACACAGAATGATGCTGTCCAGTCAACCCGTGACCATGGAGCGTGCAACCGTTCCGAAATATCAGGAAAATAAAAAGAAGCCACACCGTGGTAAGAAACCTGATATAGTGATAATCATTCGCGCTACGTTTATTGAACCATGTGGTTATCACATTCTTTTAACATTACAAGCACAGTGTTATGACAAGCAAATTGCTACACCTGACTCTCTATCAGTCCGTTTTGTGATCAGACACCTGCATGTGACGATAACTAGTGGCATAGAGTTAGGAAGGTAACGTGTACTTTATTTTTGTTTATTTATTTACGATCGGGTTACAAAAACCCATAAATACATACCTCATAGACCAGCGTTTCCCAATTGGTGGGTCGCGACTAGAGACGCGGAAAAAGTATCGATACTTTTTGGTATCGAGTACTTTTCCTCCGATACCCATACTTTTGTACTCGATACCTTTCAGGTATTAGTACTTTTTGACAAGTATCATATAAATGATTATCACTAATAACAGGTTTCTTACCACGGTATGACTTCTTTTTATTTTCCCGATATTTCGGAACGGTTGCACGCTCCATGGTCACGGGTTGACTTCAACCCGTGACCATGGAGCGTGCAAGTTATACCGTGGTAAGAAACCTGATATTAGTGATAATCATTTAGTGAATAACCACGAAAGTCTTAAAAGTATCATATAGTTTCGAATAATTCCTACTTAGGACACATCATATCATGGCACCGGCGACACCGGGTTTTCCTAGTGCGGGGCTATGTTGAGTGTGTGCGTTGTCTGTGTGTTATATGTATTTATCTGTAATGGTTGCTGTAAGAATTTAGTAATCATAATTTGTTGCTAAACTATCGCATTGGGTTAACCCTGTCATGATAGTTTAAGTGTTTTTAAAAATAAATAAATAAATATATATCATAACGCAAGGCAACCTTTATCACAAATTTCTTGGCTGTATATTGTATGCCACCATTTGCCTCTTTAAAAGAAGTTTGTCCCTTCTTCAGAACGTTTGTTCTCAAAAGCAGGCAATATAGTATCAAAAACGAGAAATAGACCTTCACCAATTAGATGTTTTTAAGTGATGTACAGAGGAGGAGTGGGAAATTAGATATTTAAGTACTTAACACAAATTATGTGAAATGACGATTGATTGAATTGATCAATTGATTGAATTAATCAAATTTATTATTTGTTTCAATTAAAAATCATAAACCAATAAAAAAAAGAAATGAATGTGTTTTATTCTGCCTTTATTTAAGTAGGGAAAATTTGCAGAACAAAAGTATCAATACCTTAAGGTATTTAAATCGCAAATATCTGAGGGGCATTTAATACTGTCCCGTTGAGACGTAAGTTGACTAGTTCCATGTGCCTGTAATTCCTCCAGTACACTTACCCTTCCAAACAGGAACGCAGTTATGCTCACATGATTGTTTGTACAGAAATAGGTAAGGTGGCTGTATTTTCCTGGACGAGCTCTTTCACAAGGAGCTGTACTGCTAAGAAAAATACCATAATAATAATTTGTAATGCCCGTATTGATATCTTCTAAAGTCTTTATGAATCATATTTATCATTTTCAGCGTTAATATTATTCGATAAAAGATAATACCTGGTTGATAGCTCAATATGGAAACTTCGTAATAATCTCTTTCCATACAATGTTGCCGCCGGCTATACAATTGTTTATTTGATTTAGAAATATAATACATTACTTATTTAGTTTAGAGTGTGGTTTATTATACATAATTAAAAAAGTTAACAAAATGTGGTATTGGAAGGGAATTATATTAGGTAAGTAACCTATTATGATAAGTTGATACACACAGATAAAACTTAAGCGAATATTCTCCAATAAGTTTTTTTATTCTTTCCCGTTTACCGTAAAATAAGTATTAAAATACGATAATGTAATTTATGTAAAGAAGAACGGTAACGTTTTTACGAAAAGCAGTGACAGACAAAATGAGGAATAAAAATAAATTAGCTGGTCTTCACGAAGAAGAAGATAAATTCATAGGGGAAATACATACGCTTCTACAATAGGACATTTCTCCTAGAAGGGCTAATTTGTCTGACTTCGGTGGTCGATTTTTTTCTTTATTTCAGGAAAAACATTGAGCGGGGAGGAAAAAGAACTCAAACTTACATAAGATTCCGCTAATTGGGCAACTAGATTCTTAACAGTTAATGACTTATCGAGTTCTTAGGTTTTCGCGATTGTTACACATAGGAAATGAAACTATTTTTCCGGATTTAAATTGCGTATATTTGTTTAGACTAAGCGAAAACATAAAAAAGAAAGTTAGGTGACAGAGTTTTAGGAAGGTGACGACATTACGCGCTTGGTTTTTACTGCAGAGAAGTAGTGTAAGTCAATCATTGCTTTATGATCATTACAACTGGCAAAGTCTAGAAATGGGAGAATTCGCGCCTAAACTTGCGTAAAACAGTCCTGTGAAATGGTTTTCGAAGAGGCTTTATGGGAAATCTAGACAGTCTGCGGGGAACACTAAATATTATAAGGTTTAGAACTGGTCTGCATTTAATTTGATTTATATAATATTTTACAAAGGGAATTGTTGTCGGTGGCAAACGCCTAACGAATTTACGCTTTGCGGATGACATACTTCTTTTTGCCCCAACGTCGTAGGAACTGCAACAGATGCTCCAAGAACTGAGCATGGCGGGTCTTGAGGTTGGACTTTGGATAAGGCGTTCCAAAACACAAATAATGTCTAACAGTACAAAAGGCAGGGTTGAGGTAGACGGTCAAGCAATCCAGTATGTCGATGAGTATATTTATCTGGGCCAGTTAGCAAGCTTTGAAAACTGGCAAGATAAGAAAATCGGTCGTCGCATAGCCTGAAAGAGCTACTGGTCTTTGAAGGAGCACTTGAAGAAAAATCTGCCTTTGTCATTTAAACGACAACGCATCTTAACCTACGGTGCACAGATATGGTCGCTGACTGAGTTCCAGAAGTCTAAACTCAAGATCTGCCAGAGGGCGATGGAGCGCAGCATTCTGGGCTTCAAACGTATTGACCGAGTACGCAATACAATGGTGCGTTCGTTGACTGGCATTGCTGATGTGGGGAGCAAAACAGCTAGGCTCAAGTGGGAATTGGGCGGGCCACGTTAACCGGATGCAACCTGATAGGTGGGCGAATGTCGTCACTCCTTGGGTGCCCGAGGATGGAAAGAGTCGGCGTGGACGGCCGAGAAGGCGTTGGCGGGACGTTCTTGATGAATTTAAGAGAGAGTGGTGGGATATCGCCACAGACAGGGAGCAATGGTTCCCGGCAGTGGGACATAATGGGTTAATTAATAATAATATATCTAGTTCTTAGGTTAACGCGATTGTTACACATAGGATATGAAACTATTTTCCCATGGTCACGGTTGACATGGGACCTGTAAAGGGCCCGAAACGTCGGTTTGTTTGAAAAAACAAATATACGCGATTTAAATGCGGAAAAATAGTTTCATTTCCTAAATATATAATATTTTATATAAAAACATTATAACCCATCTAAAATGCTCGTCGCTTCGCAACGACATAATTTTTCTGTGAAATCTGTGAAGTTTGTCCAGGGAAGTACTGCTACCTTACCTATTTCTTCCGCCTAGCAGTAATGTCAGCATTACTGTGTTCCGGTTTTGAGGGTAAGGGTGCTGGTGAAATTACAGGCACATGAAACTTTTCAACTTATGTCTCAGGCGGGCGCAGTGGCTACGCCCCTCAGATCTTTGTGATTTAAAACTCTGAGTGGCTCTGCAACTGTTATGGACAGGCATCAGGCGCACGACTAGTTCGTCCCATCACTTGATACCACAACAAAAAAAAATTAAAGAATATTACAATGATTAAAGTGACATTTCTATCAGCCGCTAGTAGTACACGCAGACCACATAATTATTTTCTTTCTTCCGTGGTAGTACCTTTACAGCCACCTGTCTATGCGAAGAAAAACTTTCATAGATTTCTCACAGATGGCGCTATGGTAAAAAAGACCTGCTACAACCACATAGAGACATTAGTTGGGTTTGCTGGTTCGTTCCGTAGCTTGGTTGGGAGTCGTCGGCGAGCATGCTGATTTTGATTCAAAATGGAATCGATCCTTTCGGGTAGTCTCGAAATCAGATGGGTTTCTGAGCGAGAAGATGAACCTGACTCCTATTAAGTATATCTTTCTAATTGTGAGTTAAATCAACTATTGTTCCGATTAGAAATGTCAAAAGACCGGCCGGTTGTGTATAGCAATTATGCGCCTCGACTCGGAAGAGACGCAGTTTCCGGGAGAGGCAATCAAAATCAAGCTGCTGGTATGCTGAAGACGCTGCTTGCGACGCTTCGAATCAAATGAATTTTTCTCTGTATTCGATCTTTCTATTAATAATTATAACAAACTAGTAGAATAATCATTATTAGTACAAAGATCGTCTCGTACCAAACCGTGGCAGACGCTATGTCAACTAAGACACGGAACGTTGGATCTGGTTGGTTTTTCAACGACTTTCTAGCCGTAGCGCCATCTATGAGAAATCTATGAAAGTATTTCGTCACTCAGTTAGATACCTTTGCAGCTACGAGACCTGGCTAAAGACGTCGCTATTATCTGTAATTAATTTGCTAGGAGACGTCGTCGGTTCGAATCCGGCCGGATCGAAGGAATTTTTTCTAAGTTTCGATCTTTGTAATGTTATAATTATTATAACAAAGTAGTGGAGTAATTTCACAAAAAAAATTAATATCTGTATGTCATAATGTTATTAATCTTTGTTCTAGCTTGCTTCCTCCATTCTTGCCTGGGGCTACGGACGTGTTTACAGGACGCTGAATGCTCAAGTCTGGAGGGGAGCATTTGCTTGAATGGGACATGTGCCTGTCCTCCGGGTTACCAGTCTGCTCTAGGTGGAACACGCTGTCTTAGCTGTGAGTTATATTTGACATCACCAGATTTGTTAATTTGTAGAATTGTAATTACTAATAATTGTAAGTGTCGTATTCATCACGGGATATATATTTATTTCAATTTAAACGTAAAAAATGTACATTACAATAAAAGCTTAAATATTATACTCCGTCCAATAATTTATTTAACTAATGACTATTTTATGTGATGAAGAAGTTTAAATCGTGAAAGGAGGGATGCATAAGTCAAAAGTTAAACAAATGGTTAGACGGAGTACAGAAACTGAAACTAGATTTACATTAAGAGGGAGCATGCCAAAAAAGTTTTGACGTTGGCTCCGCCCACATTTGTGAGACTAAAATATGCCTGAAGTTCGCATGACATGCGACAGGAGATGTTGAATTTTGCGCATTAAAAGTACCAAATTTGTTTTAGCCGAATAACTCTAAAACTAAAGGGATTAAAAAAAAATCCGTAGTGACAGTTTTCGATCATGCATAAATATAATTATCTAATTTTTGTCCTAATAACCTGTAGCATTTCGAGGATGAATCGAATAAATGTGAATATAGAGGTAATTTCGTGATTTTTATCTATCGAGGAAACTTTATTGTTTTATGTTTCTGATTAGTGTCTATGCTTGAATATATCTTGTAGTTAGTCATACAATATTCTATTTTTAACTTTAAAGTGGATATACCCCTCTAAAATCAAATCGAAGATTAGGAATTTTTCCTCTGCTCCCTCTTAAATGAATATAATTAGGGTCCCCGCGGTAAGGTGCCCAAGATGCTGGCAGCATTCCCTCTTTGTATAACAGCTTGGCTATACGTTGAGCAAGGTAGCTGCCGACCCTTGGGTTTCCCAAACAGTCAACTAGGTTTCCTAGGAGACGTCGCGTCGGTTCGAATCCGGCTGGATCGAAGTAATTTTTTGTACGTGTTAGATCTTTATATTAATAATTGTAACTCAAAAGTTTGTTTGAACGCTTTTGGTGTGTTCTTTACTGCACTTTTGTCATCGATAACTGGTTCAAGGTAGCTACTATAAGCTGTTAAGGACTTCCATTAGTCGGCCTTTTCCAACATCAGTTCAGCTCTAAGCCATCATTTAATTTTCATTGCAATAAACTAGAATGTACAGTACGATTCACGAAAGATGACCACAAATGGCGGCCGTCTGCGCACGTACACTCATGAAGAAAAGACTTATGACAATATAATATTTTAATTTTGGTTTAATAATTTGTGTAATGTTGTAAACGCTGGTTATGCAAATAAATCAAACGTAAGTAATTTTAAATGTTTATTATAATAAATTGAACCAAAAATATAAAAATTTGTAAAACACATTTAGTCGCTATCGCTATTCTCAAGTTCCATGATTCCCTCTATCATGGAACTTGAGGGAATCGTGGAACTTGAGGAACTGGGGCCGGGTTCCATATTAAAGTCTTCATTTTCCGATGATTCGGGAAAATCCACATCTGTCGAATCTTCGCTCTCGTCAGATTCTCCCACACGTATAATTAATTCCTCCGTAAGAACATCCACGATGTGGTCACTTTTTATATAGCTTTCTTCTATAGATTTTACTTTGTCACATAGTTTTTTCCATTCCTCTGGTCCCATCAGATTCACTTTTTCTTTAATTAAATCTATAACGCAGCAAATATTCCACTTTACGTTTTTACTACTCACGTAACCCTTTATAGAGGCCCAAGCCATTTCTATGGGATTTAAATCCGGGTGGTACGATGGAAGACGGAGAACATCGTGACCATTTTCCATCAAAATTTTGTCAACGGAGTATTTCTTTAAACGAGGTTTGTTATTTTTTATTATATCGTACAATTGAGGTTTCAACATATTGGAATCAAAGCTGATTCCATTTTTGGTAAGCCACTCTTGCATGTCGGATTTTCGGGAATTAGATGTGGGAGCCATATCATATTCTTTATTGTGGTATGGGGCGTTGTCTACCACAACAACGGAGTTCGGTGGGAGATTGGGTACCAATAGAGTTCGAATCCATTTCTGGTAATTTTCAAAATTCATGTCGTCATGATAATCTCCTGATTTTGTGCCCGACTTGAAAGTTAATAATGCATTTGGCACAAATCCAGCCTCTGAACCGGCATGAACGATAACGACACGTTGGCCTTTTGAGATAGGCTTTTTCAGACCTGCTGTAGAACCGTCAGCCCAGCCCATGGGTTTTGCATGTGTAGCATGGACGTACGATTCGTCAGTATAAATGATTGGTCTATTTTGTCTTCGATATTCTTGGAGTTTTTTTAGGTAATTGATTCGTAACAACCGAATAGCTGATGTTTCTATTAAAATATTTCGGTTATTTTCTGTTTTTTTCCACTTAAATCCAATTCTTTTTATTAATCGACCCAAACTTGTTTTGGATCCTTTAAAGTTAATATCTTGATGTAATTTTGCTCGTAACTTTTCTAAAGTTGGCAATTCTTTTTCAATTAAATGGAAGTTATGAATACATCTCTTAATTACCCCTTTGTCAAAGGCGTCAACGTCGGAGGCAGGGTTACGGCGCGGTCTCTTTTTACCAGGGGTTCTAAAAACCACTAAGAACGGTGAAGATTTACTTTCTTTTATAATTCTTTGTACTGTCGATACAGACGTCTTTGTTGCCGCGGCCGTTTTTTTGTAAGCTTCGAGTATTTTAAAATCTTGTGAAAAATATTGAAACACGTTGTACACCAAACTTCTCGACTGTCTATTCAAAGTATTGCCTTTTCCTCGCGGCATTGTAAAATAGCAAATAAGTTCAACACAATAACAAATCTCAACAAAAATCTTAACAAAAAACGAAAACAACAAATAAAAAACAATTTAAAACAAAGAAACACTTCTTTTCGACTGTACTCGAGAGCAGTGTGAGCGCGTCGAGACGCCGCGATAGACGAATAGCGACTGAGCAGTCTATCACGAGACGCGCGCGCACCAATGGCGTCGCTCCGATCTTGACGCATTCCGCCCGCGCCTCACCTCGCACCTCCAGAGACCTAAAATATGCCTTCTGCGCCGTGGTCATCTTTCGTGAATCCAAGCTAGAATTTGTGTCAGATAAAGTTAAATACACCCCGAGGGTCAATTTTAGTTCGTTTGTTATGAGAATACCGATTGAAAGAAAAGAAAGAAAATACATTTATTTGTTTACCACAATGACACCACAAAAGACAAAAGACAAAAAAAAGGAACGGAACAAAACAGAACCAAAACAAAACGCGATCAAAACATTCAACTTAAAACATAAATAAATAATTACGAAACAAAAACACAAACAAACACAAAACAAAAATGTATGTACAAAAATTTGATAAAATTAAAATAGGAACTTAGGAAATGAAACTATTTTTCCGGATTTAAATCGCGTATATTTGTTTTTTCAAACAAACCGACGTTTCGGGCCCTTTACAGGTCCCATGGTCACGGTTGACTCGTCAAGATGCTTTTTCCTCGGAGTTAAAGCCAGTGATCATTATGAACAATTTAAAATAGTTTTTAAAGTAAAATGTTCAAACATTTGGCTATAACCATATCTGATATGACGTGATTATTAAACAATTTCAAACTTCTAAAACTGGGTTATGGTTTTTTTATGATATTTCAATAAAATATTTTGTTTGACACTCCAAAGTAGCAAAATAAGTAATTTTTCCACGATTTTCGAGATTTTACCGCAGATTATTGACACGACCGTAATGTACAAATCGCAAATGGCGGACTAAGCTCAAGTATGTGGAACTCCGCGTACTGTTGGCACACATACCATGCCCACAAAGCACTTCTACTGTAGAAGTATTTATGGTTCTGTGGTCTGCACGTTCTTGCGTGTGCACTTAATAATTGTTACCTTCAAATTGTTTTTTTTTACAGTGGCTCCATACCACACATCGGTCTGCGTAGAAACCTACCAATGTTCTAGACTCTTTTCTAGTTTTGAATGTCTAAAAGCGGAAAATGCAACAGGTAAGGTAAAATGTTCTCTGAAGAATTATTCAACCTTATCCTACCATCGCCATTCCTCTTCAGGAGCATTTGTGCTGGTCTCCATCGTGACCGGTTTACAACTTGGTATTGCCGCACCCTCTCGGTGTAATGAGACATTTCCTAAAGCCATTTTTTCTGGAGCGTGGTTTTAAGTTTCTACCAATGAACCGTTGTCCTTGCCTTCTGAAAGTCTTCCTCCTGCACAATAATTGCCTTTGCCGATCTGAGGGTCGATTCAGAAACTTCCTATAACTCAGTTGTCGATCGATTCGATATGATGAGATATCGTACGATTTCTTTTAATTTTTATTCACAACACCCGAATTGAACGTCAAGCTGTCGTATTCGAAACCGAACCGAAATGACGTCACACCCGTACGATTACTCAAGCTGCTCGACCGGCAAAAGCTACAAACGTTATTCAGATTTTCAGTCCAGACAGTTATCGAGTAAAAGTTACCAAACGTCCTATTGTTTACAAAGCAAGAATGTAATATGAAATATGTTATTATTTTCAATAAAGTCTGGATTTTGTTCAATTTTACTAATTTATTTTAATGTAAGTCTAATGCATTCCTATATTTTAGCCCTTTATAGTCTTAAACATGTTTATAAAAGGATTTTCATTTTTCTTATATTGTGTCTATTTCACCAAGTAACTCCGTAAACGATATTGTATAACGATATCGTATCCGAATTCCAATCGAAAAATTCGGTTAAAATATCGAAGTGTTCTGAATCTGAAGGCTTCGGACTTGGGTTGGTCGGAGTAAGAACAATTTCTTTAGGTGGGAATTTTCAGATGGTTCTAACCAGGACCCCGTTTCAGAACTCTTCGATATCTTAACCGAATCGTTCGATGGGATATTGTTCTCGAATCGAAGGGCGCTTTCCGAGCTATTCAGAATTTTCCGAGTTACTTAACGTTCGGAATCGGATACGATATCGTTATCCAGCATATTATAAGAAAAATGTAAATCCTTTTAAATACATCTTTAAGACTTTAAAGGCCTAAAATATAGGAATGCATTAGTCTCGCTTTAAAATAAATTAATAAAATTGAACAAAATCCAGATTTTATTTAAAATAATAAAAGATTTCCATATTACATTCTTGCTTTGTAAACAATAGGACGTTCGGTAAGTTTCATTCGATAACTGCGTTCTGAATAACGTTTGTAGCCTTTGCCGGTCGAGAAGTTCGAGTAATCGTACGGGTGTAACGTCATTTCGGTTCGGTTTCGAATACGAAAGTTCGACGTTCGTTTCGGTTATTGTGAATGAAAATGAAAAGAAATCGTACGATATCTAATCGAATCGGTCGACAACAGAGTTATCGGAAGGTTCTGAATTGACCTGCTGAGTTGTTTGCGCGGTGCGATTCAAACGATGGCTTACCTCATATCTTGCCCCGCGTGCCGTAACACCTGCATGCTTGAGGACTTAATGGCGGCTACTAGTGGCATTGTCGACCTGGCTGAGTTCTTGGGGGTCTACTTCCATTCTACGTCGATAACTGTCCGAAATAATTACAGTGAAATAAATAATACTCGACCTAATTAAGAGACGCGTGTTGCGAATGAAGCTTCATATTTCACATTGTCTTTTCATTTAGCTGGAGAATGTCAGTAGACCCCTGGACCATAATAGTCTGCATGCCATTGGTACGATATGAAGAAGAAGTAATGTTTCTTCGTGTTCGGTCTTGGTTTCAATAACAATAGTTTCATTTTTATTTCTTTTTTGCAGAAGGCACCTGCCGCTGCCAACCAGGCCACCATTACTTCCTAGGCAGCTGTTGGCCTACAACAGACTTTGGCGAACCCTGCTTTAGGGATGAGCAATGCCTTAGTACAATTAGAGACCCTTACAGTATGAGTTGTAACGGGACCTGTCAATGTGCTGAAGGATACGATCTGAGGCAGAGAGGCGAATGCAGGAAAATTGGAAGAGGTCAGACAATATGATTATAATTACATTTATGCAAACAGATAGGTTGACTCAGGAAGATCTGCAGGGCTTGCGCTAACACACGTACTGCCCAGGCAATTAATACCCTTTTCTTTAATTGTCATGGATACTGTACGGCCTGTACCATAACAGGGGGTCGATTCAGAACCTTACAATGACTCTGTTGTCGACCAATTCGATTTGATATCGTACGATTTCTCATCATTTTTATTCACAACACCCAAATCGAACGTCAAACTGTCGTATCCGAAACCGAACCGAAATGACGTCACACCCATACGGTTACGCCGAATGTCCTATTGTTTACAAAGCAAGAATGTAATATGGAAAACTCTTAATATTTTAAATGAAGTCTCGATTTTATTAATTCATTTTAATGCAAGGCTAATGCATTTCTATACTTTAGGTCCTTAAAGTCTTAAAAATGTAATATAAATATAAAATGATTTTGATTTTTCTTATAATCTATTTCACCGACTAACTCCGTGAACGCTGTTGGATAACGATATCATATCCGAATCCGCATCGAACGTTTAACTTGAAAGTTTTGAATAACTCGGAAAGCGCCCTTCGATTCGAGAACGATATTCAATCGAACGATTCGGTTAGAAAAGTTCTGAGTCGGGAACCAGGTCCGACTCCACTGAAAAGATGTTACACACAGTGTGCTCTTCACCTAGTATTCACATGAAACCACGAATGCATTGGTAGTAGCGGAAATATCTGTAGAAATATCAATACTTCCCTGGCCGAACTCTTGTGAAGTATTGCCTTACCAGTTTCTGCTACCAAGTAATAATGTGAGCGTTACTGTATTCCGGTTTCGAAGGGTGCTGATGAAACTACAGGCACATGGGACTAGTCAACTCATAGTCGGGGATAGTACAAATCCGCGTTTGTAGTATCTGTACCAAACCTAATTTCACAGGAGAGGGATTTAACGTTATTACTTTGTTATTTCAATGGCTACAACTTTCATTTTTGCACAATAACCGCTCACGCGATACATCCGTGGACACATACCACACCTAGAGGTGCCGGTGATGATTTTATACCGATTTATCGGATATCGAAGTTATAATAATAAATAAATAAATAACGCACACACCCAACATAGCCCCGCACTAGGGAAACCCTGTGTCGCGGGTGCCATGGACACACACATAGACAACCACAAATTACACCCAAACTCACGAGAGAAATAATTGTAGGCCATACAACTATTTCTCCCGGCCCGGGAATCGAACCTGGGACCTCTGCGTGGCAGTCCGGCATGGTAACCGTTCGGCCACGGAGGCAGTTTTAATAGTTTATTGTATTTTTATTGTAATTTAGTTAGTTTATTGTAATTTAAAGTTTATAACAGGTAAAAGAACTAATATTAATTGCTATTTCGGTAACTACTCTAGCAAACCATAAAGTTTTTAATGCCTGGGTCTGTCATTTAAAAAAAATAAACAACTTCAAAAATCACGTCACGACAATCGTGTGTGTTATTGTTTGGGCTGGTGATTTCGGTGTTTATTTATTGAAAACATACCGTAAGTAGCGTTTTTTAAGTTTACCATGAATATAAATGTTTATAAACTATACTTTAAGCAGTAATTTCATAGTAAACGTTAGAACCACTCAAACGGAATATTATCATATTTATCCAAGTACACCAGAAGTTTCATTAGTGCTTTTTAAGTGCAGGATTTGCGGTGTATTATTGCATTTTATTTGAGATGTTTTTGTTGGTAGTATGGAGGGTATTTATTTAGCAATGCAGAATAATAATTTTTATTTATAAAAACTTGTATTTAAACTGAATGCTTTTCCAATTTGCGAAACCAAATAGCCGCCATTTTGTGGTAGGAGGAGCGCATCGCGTGAGCGGGTAAGCAATAATTTATGTTGTCTACGGACTGATAACAATAGATTACCGTAAATCACTTAAATACATTTTCGCGGTTTTTATTGGGCCACTAAATTACCGAAATGGAGACCCATAATCAATTGCTAGTTACGCGTAATTGCGCTATCCCCGACGTTATGTCTTAGGGTGATGGGCGCAGTGGCAGTGCCCCTCAGATATTTGCGATTCAAATGGTAGCAGCACCATCCTTGATGAATCTTTCACATAAAGCTCTATATATATGTATTTTGGATCGAGTATTATAGCTTAGATTATGATATTTATTTCTGTCAATGTTAATATTGTAGAAGCAACCCATAGAAATCTTGTAGATCTTCAGTGTCGGCTTTACCTATATAAAATTCAAGTAGGTAATAGCCAAGCTCATTTTACTGCAACTAATTAATGTGTCGAGACCATTGACTTACAATTATAAAGTCAATGGTCGAGACAAAAAAAGATTTATTTTCTCAAACATGCTTCGGAAATGTTTGCATTACTTTCAAAAAACGAACACGTTTATTCAAGTCAAGTAAAAAATCATTTATTCCATAGGTAAAATAAATTTACACTAGAAAACGTCACATTTAAGCTACTGCTCGTTCACTACGCTGACCTCCCTGAGAAGAACGAGCAAGAAACTCTAGGGATTGCTCTTTTCAAATAAATTTAAATGCTATGGAATAGACTTTGAATCAAATTTGTGTGGATTCTGGAGCCGTATCGTCTTTCCTTACATCTTTATCTAACACGTAGTCTTCAATTTTGTAACATGACTTTTCGATCAAAATATTTTGAATGTAGTTTTTAAACTTAGGAAATGATAAACTTAATAAACGGAAAGTTTTATGGACCGTGCGAATTCATCCTGGCCAAGGCCTGCAAAGTAAAAATGAAAATCCATTACTGTCCACTTCTCTAAACTTTTAAATCTACCTACTTATAATGAACTATGTAAACAGGCAAAGGAAAAACTCATATACCAAGCTGCCCAGTGTTCATAGTTGCGAGAATTAAAAATACCTACCTACACCGCTTACTTAAAAAAAAGAATATGGCGGTAACATTGAAACTAAAATGTTTTGGTGTTCTTTGGTTTTTGGTCTATTTAGTATTTTGTTCGCGAAAATGAGTGCTAGTGAGAAGAGCGATAACGAAAATACTAGATACACATTCAAACACATAATCAGAAGTTGAGTAGACTGCTATTAATATACCTGGAAAAAAAAATTATTTTAGCAATTGTCGTAACGCATCAAATATTACTTTAAATATTTTTTATTTTACTTTTTCTATTAAACATCTTCCCCTCTTTAGTCTTTTATTATTTCCTCACATTGTTTGAGAAAAATTCTATATATGCCTCGGCGGGCCCGGGGATTGCTTGACTCCTATTAATGCAAGGCCTCGCTGACGCACGTCCTTGTAACTCATACTCGTCCAGCAATCCCTTACTTCTCGGCCTCTGCAATAATGTACTATTTCTTTACAGCTGTTGGGGACGGATGTGTCCTTGATGTCGATTGTCACTTCGAAGGAGGTGCCTGTGACCGGTTCGATTTTATCTGTTACAATACTAATGATGGTAAGTTAACAGCTTCAGCTTGTGAAAAGTGTTCCAGTGTCCAACAGTGGGACTAATAGACTGGCTATTCCACGAGAAAAGGTTATTTATTATGCCGGATGCACTACAGTGTTGCGGCAGCCCCATTAGCATCCTAAAAGCGTTGTTATATTGCACCCTTAATGTATTCAGGGTTCTCTGCGTATACTTCACCCACAGGCTGCTTGTGTAAAAGTTTTGGCAATATGCTTTAAATAATGAGATATTTACATCTTTGGTGCAACGAGCAAACCTGCGGGCGAGCATATTACATCTAACAGACAGGGCTCTTCTCTCCCTCTCCATGTCGGCATTTTTTATAGTGATTATAGTATATAATAGAGCATAGATTATAGTGACCCTCACTTTTTATATAACTCCCTATCAACCTCTTGGTTGTGCGGGAAGGGCACTATAGTCTGTGCAAGCACAGAGACTTTGTGGGTTTAGGTCCTGGATCTGTACTCTCGTTCTCCGTCCAACATCCGTCCGAAACAATTGCTGTCAAATAAGTAATACTCGACAAAATTAAAAAACGATTGATGTGAACGCAAAGCTTCATACTTAACATTGTCTTTTAATTTATAATAATTATAATGATAATGACAATGACAATGACAATAACAATGACAATGACAATGACAACGACAATAATGACAATGACAATGACAATGACAGTAATAAATAAATGATAATAATAATAAATTACCAAAAATATATTACAAAGACGCTGACCTCAGACAATTGTAGAAAAAGCAATAGCTCCCCTGAAACCATCCAGCATATCATCAAAGCAATAGCCCAGATAGACTATAAACATAGGCACTCAAGTAGCCAATATCATCCATCAAAATTTAGGCGAACGGCACAAGTTTTTGGAAACTATAAGGCCTTATTATCAATAGACACCTGAAACCGTACTTGAAAATAATACAACCAAATTATATTTTGATCGAGCCATTCTGACTGACCAAAGCATCCACTACAATAGACCAGACATCACGCCAGTAAACAAGACTGACAAAACCGGATTTTTAATAGACATTGCCGTACCAAACACCCACAACTTACAGTCTACAATATCAGAAAAACTCTCTAAATACACAGAACTAAAAGAGGAAATAACCAGAATATGGCATTTAAAGAATGTAGTAAGAGTACCAATAGTTATTTCAACCACAGGCGTCATTCCCAAACAGATACACAAGTCATTGCAGTCCCTGAATCTCCCACCAAACATATACCACTTGTTATGGAAGGCAGCCATCCTTAATACTTGTCGCATTGTTTGAAGGTTCTTGCAGATGAAAAAGGACGAAGTAATCTCTTGTTACGCACCACTACCACCGTCCACATAGACAAGCTGGATTTGCTTGATTTCGTTCCGCCTCCACAGTGGTCCAATTTAATTTTGAAGAAAATCATCCTACTCTAAGCGTGGCTGGTCACGCATGAAGATTCATTTTAATAAATAGCGCCTAAATTTTATTATAAGGAGCAATTATTTTAATGGTTGATTTTGCTATTCTCCAATTCAAGGCGTTTTTCTCTCAATATACTTTGAGTAGTGAGAACCGATTTTAATTATCTCTTGTGTCAAGTCCCGTATTGCGCACTTTCCGGTAACCGATTTCAATAAAGTTATTAACTATAGGTAATTCCACGTACTTTTGACGTCGGTTTTTTTAGTATTCTGTACTGAGATTATATTTAAATGAATCATACAGCACTTACTAAACTAATTTACAAATTAGAATTAAACCATCATAACCTATTGTGTTATTAATATTATGAAGATTCTCCATTATGGTAAAATTGCAACTAAAACTAAAGTAGTGTAGTGCCGTGACGTGTGGGTAGGGAATGATAACTACGATACGAATATGTGCATTTGCAGTAATAAAAAAGTGAGCAGCATATATGCGTGTGTGTGTATTTGTGTGTTTATGTGTGTGTAAGAGTGACAAAATAGCGGAGTAGAGTACACTTAAAAGCATCGTAAAGGTAGATAAATAATTTAAGTAAAGTAGTTTATTCATAACTAATTCATACTAGTCTAACTAGAAATTCTTCGGTCTTCTCATAGGATAACTACTGTAACCATTTTCTTAGTTTATATCCAACTTCATACTTGTTTAATGCGTATATGTGTAGGGATTTATTAATTTTATTATATAATCTCTAGCACTTAGCGCTGTTAATTGTCCGTTAGCAAAGCCAGTATGGCATTGTTTACTAAGAGCAATTTGAATGACGACGCAAGACACATTTTAGTATAACTGCCTCACCGTGAGTATTTCGTCGAGTATTACTTATTTGACCCCCTGACCACAAATCAGTCCGTGGACAGGATTGTAGGGATGGGGACAGTGCCATATCTTTCTACATTAGTTTTGATTATAGTGACCCTCCCTACCGACCTGAGGATATACGAAAAAGGCACTATGACCTGCGCGAGTGAACCCGCATAGGAACCATCTAGATCAGCACGTTTGCACGGACTTTATCCGGTTATCTGTAAGGCTAGTGCTTTAGTTGAGCCGCCTCGGTTGCATGTACAGCATTCTCCCTTCACGCAAGACACGCTTACTTCCCGTCAGCCTTCGCACGACTAACGGTTACCACCGCTGAGCCGCCGACTCTTAGCCGATTACCAAATCTCCTCATAGGTAGCGGAGCTGTAAGGCACACTCACTTCGCGACGCCGAGTGAACGGCGTCTCTCTAGTTACCAAATTCCTACGCGGCCGGAAGGACCGGAAGATGTCTAGCTCATCCTCTACTAGCTCTACAAGTGGCACTGTCCTGCGACAATGTCCAAACATAGCCATCGACTTAAAGGGCAATTCACGTGCCCCGCCGATCTCCTCGCCTCAGGCCCTCAACTAGACCGCTACTAAGGCGCAACCGGGGCAGACGAACGTGTTCGCCCCTGCAGCTAACCACAAACCACGGCGAATCCATACCCAAGTCCGGCTCCGCCAGAGACGCCCGTGGAGACGTATAGCTGGCGGAGGGCTTGGTCCGGACCTCTGTCGTACCCTGATCTTGCCGTCGAGCCCGTAGTTTCTCCGGAAAACCCTAACTCTCGGGTCGGTAGATAGGGTAATAATATAGGGTAAGAAGTAAGAAGGGGCAATCTACACTTGTAAACGAAAATGTTTTGTAACTGAGACGGCTACAAATTGCTACCTCACTAATTTCACCTCTCTTGTTACAGCGACAAGGACGATCCCGCTAAAATCTACAGCCGCCGTAAACACCACCGTTACGAAAAGTATAACTACGAGGAACAACACCCTTTACGAATCATGTCCTTGTTCTCATCCCTTCGTGTGCTATTTGGATACCTGCGTGTGTCCACTCGGATATTATTCTAATGCAGATGGAAACTCGTGCTTGCCTGGTGAGTCAATGCAGAATTGCATTGAATTCTTCACTGCATTTACCATAATTTTTATTTACATTCATGTTCAAAGAACCATAAATACATACCTCATAGACTAACATACATAACAATATAGTAAAACATTAATTACTTATTATTTATACGTATTGTTTGCGATGTGTGACGCAAGGTGGGTGTGCGGTAGCCAGGCGAGTGGCCACGGAAACATCGGCACATAGGGTCTAGACTAGTTCTCCGTTCTTCCTGGCACTAGACGTCTTTTCGAGTCCGGCCGGATCGAAGGAATTTTTTCTGAGTGTTCGATCTTTGTACTAATAATTATAATTTATTTATTTAAAATGCAAGTCACAACAATACCCTTCCATTAGGCAAGTACTTATTGCCATGACACCCCGTAGGGTTATGGCACACAGTCGCTACTTATTTTTGTATAGGTTTACATTTTTTTATACATTACTAAATATAATAATAAAAAATACAATTTAGATTAAAATAACATGTCGATTATCCATCATCAGTCTTTGTCAAATACATAAAATAACATAGTTACTTAATTTAATTAAGTAACATAAATAAATAAAAGTTTATTTAAGTTATAATAGCGTTTGTCCATTAGTAAGAATATAACTTTTAATTTTTTATCATTGACTTTCAATTATATGGACGTCGGGTCCGCGCTAAAAAGTGTCCGAACTTATAGGGCGTTAAAATCGTATACAGAGCGTCATTCACGCTTTAGTCTTCGTTTGTTCGACTGACAGCGAAGCAAGCAAAATTAGACAGTACTGCGATGACATTACAATTTAAATGCAACGTTTTAGCTTTTTCATATTCCTTTACATGTCACTACGTTTAAATAGGTTGACTTGGGACATTTTTTTCATGGTTTTTGTATTAGACCCGTCGTCCATTTATTTGTAAGTCAATGTTTTTTATTGATACTTCTGCAATTTGTGTCACTTCTTAGGTACTCGAGTAGTTTATTGTGAATTTTATTGCATTACCATACGGACCTTTCTGATACGAGTAGGTACTTAGTGTACTTTGCGGAAGGCTTAATATTTATTCTCATATCTATATCGGTCTTGAGTCTTAAAGAAATGGTACAACACTAGTAAATAGTTCAACTGTTTTTTCTGATAAATTTGGTCGTTCTAAATTCTTAGAAGGCAGGGTTAATATTTGTAATTTTTTAAAATGTGGTCGTATAACACATTAAGGAACATTTTCTCTTCATTAACCATCATTGATTTCTTTTTTTAGAACTGGGTTCGCCAGGGACAAATTCAACCTGCACGGGCCTGCTGGCTGTGGTCATAGACGGAATTTGCACTTGTCGACCAAACTTCTTCTTCCAAGAGAACATGAGGGACTGTGTTAGAGGTAAGAACATCATAGATCGGGGCCTCAAGACTGCATTTTTTTTTAAATCAAATGTCAGTGATTGCATTCATACAATCAATCAGTTACGATCGATTTTGCCTTACTAAAACAACTATGAAAATTACTATACATGTCTTAATTTCTATCCCATTTAATCAGCAACTTAGCTTCAAATTAAATATGATGGCGCGTGCTCTGGAGGTTATTTACGGGGTGACCATATTGCATAATTTGCGGCGGCTTAGAAATGAAAATGTTACTTAATGTCAAAGCCATTCGATCTAATCATTTATTCTGTCATTTTTTTAAGCTACTGCTCGTTTACTATTCTGACTTCCCTGAGAAGAACGATTATTTGACCCTCAAAAACATAATCGATTTGTAAACGTGCACTTTTTTACAAAGACGATATTTTTTTATACTTGATATATTAGTTGATTTTCGGATATATCATTATGTTTAAGCATATTAAATTAATATTTGGTATACAAAAATGATATTTCATCATCTTTTTTATTATTGGTCGTTTCTTTTAATGATTGATGACATTTATAACAAGTTTTGATATTGATATCGTAATAAATCTTGGTTGCTTGGTTGCGCCCTTCATTCAGTAGGTTAGGTTAGTATTATGAAAAAGCAGCCAGAAGCCAATTTGCTTGCATTTCCGAACTTCTTTTCGGGTCAAATTATATTATTATTAATATTATTAGTATACAAATACAATCAACATTTATTTAGTTTTAAAAATAAGTATCTAAAGGAGTTGTTCCTTTAGTGGTACTAAAATAAATGAAAAATTTAACCAGGTTATTAGTTGGTTTTTTGTAAAGAGCTCTCAAAACCTAGAAGGTCTGAATTAAAAACAAATTATTTTTGACGTACAATTTCCAGAAAATCTACTATGTAAAGTAAAACGGATCGCAATCCCACGAACGGAATGGATTTTTATGTAATTTTTTGGCTAATGGGCCAGTGGCCAATGCCATAAAAAATATTGACAGTTCAAGATGTCAAAGTCATTCTTGTTGCAATTTAATTAGCCAGTTACAATTAAGATTTTGAATATTTTAGCGTTTAAGTATTGCTGGAATTAATTTAATATATCTACCACTCCTTTGTTTTAAATAAATAAACAAAAAATGCAGGTCACAATATTTTTTTAATTATTTTGCTAAGCTCTTTGTTTCAAGTTTATATCTTGCAAAAAAATTGAGGCTGGTTTAATTTTTCTGACCAAGACCGAGTACCAAGCTTCATACTAATTCGGTACAAGTTTATTTTTAAAACTCATTTGTCTTAGTTTCGAGGCCCAATATAAAATTATCAAAGTTATACAAGAATACAAGATATTTATTCGCTGAAAAATGTAGTTTACAATGGTGTTATAGTATATTATTATTAGATCGTACATTTCACCAAAACTTGGCATGCGAATATTTTACACAATTCATATTTCAATCACGCACAGTGGTTAAATTTTACATTTTATGTTATCTATTTAAAAATCATTTATATTGTAGTAGCATTGTGTAACTAACAAATTATGTTATTTTATTTTAAAATTTTTTTTTTTTTTTTTTTTTTATGACATTAAGTAACGGGACGAACAAGTCGTGTGCCTGATGGTAAGCTACACGCCTGCCCATAACAGTTGCAGTGCCACCAAGAGCTTTAAATTACAAAGATCTTGGGGGCACTGCCACTGCGCCCGTCACCCTGAGACATAAGTTGACAAGTCTCATGTGCCTGTAATTTCACCAGCACCCTTACCCTTCACAACCGGAACACAGTAATGTGACCATTACTGCTTGGCGGCAGAAATAGGTAAGGTGGCAGTACTTCCCTGGACGAGCTCTTTCACAAGGAGCTCTACTGCTACTAAATGCCTATAATTTAGTTAATTTTCACATATCAAAATTTTTTTGCATATATCAGAGAAGATTAAAAATATCCATTGGTTTAATTTATTTCATGTCTCAGAGAAAGAGGATCAATGATTAAAAGAAATGACTGTTTAGATTTTTTTTTTGCCTACTGCTTTTGCAAATTTAAAATAATCATTTAAATACATGCCTTCATTTATTTCCCCAGTAAGCCGCACGCTAAGTGACTCTTGCGTCGAGGACTTGAATTGTCATTCTTTCGGGGCAGCTGCACGGTGTGGTCCACCACAGCAGTGGGGCATACGCAACTGCGAGTGCGACACCGAACAGGCCATTTGGGATGCACAGAGACAGATGTGCAGATTATTTTCTGGTAAGCGCGTTTTACTGGGCGCTTTGACCTTCAGCACCCCGATATACTGCCATCCTTACCATAATCATAGACCCATAACGCAAGAGGACTGCTAACCTCCACACAGATCGTAACTTTGAAAAAGATCAAAATGCCGTTATTGGCGGGATAGTGTATTAACTCAATAATCTCAGTACAGAGTACTAAAAAAACCGACCTCAAATGTACGTGGAATTACGTCTATTTGCTAAGTTTTATTGCAATATACCCTAGATCGCCACTATACGGGACTTGACACTGGAGATAATAATAATCGGTTCTCACTACTCAGTATATCGAGAGAGAAACGCCTTGAATTGGAGAAATGGCAAAATCAACCATTAAAGTAATTGCTCCTAAATTAAAGTTAGGCGCTATTTATAAAAATGAATCTTCATGCGTGAACAGCCGCCCTTCGAGGTGGATGATTTTCTTCAAAATGAAATGGGACTACTATGGAAGTACCCCCTTTCCAACAAAAAAGAATCATGAAAATCGGTTCACAAATACCGGAGTTATCGCGTAACATACGTACAAAAAAAAAACATACAGTCGAATTGACAACCTCCTCCTTTTTGAAGTCGGTAAAAAAAGAAAAGTATGTGATAATAAATACTATTAAAATTACGTTGTTTTCAATAATTTTACCGTATTTTTACGAAGAATAATAAATAAAACAAGCCGAGTCTTGATAGTCACGTTGTGAATTCGGAACTACAGTCTAATGTCAACTGTTAGCTTCGCCAAGGAGCATATAGATGGCGCAGTCATAATTTTACGAAATAAACATCGCGTATTTTTATTTAATGAGAAGTTATATCTTACGTGCTATTAAATAAAAAATAAACGAAATATTGAAGAGATATATGTAAATAAATAAGTTCAACGTAACTTTTAATCATTACAAATCAATATTAAGACAATAAAACTGAAAATTATATTGTTTCCATTGCATCCGTACAACTATTTTAAGATTGCTAAATTTGACATAAGAGCAATATTACTTTAATGTTAAAGTCGCGTCATAGTACGAACTGAGTGAATGAATAGTCAGAAAGCTGCCAATAAAACATCATAGTTTTAGCATTACAATAAGCTTACTTTAAGCGCGTTATGGTACGAAAAGTCAATGTAAGGTTAAAGTAAGATTGTTTTAAGAGGTTGTGGTAGAGAAAGTTTGTCATGGACCTCGAATTCGAGCTTCAACCTCTTAGCGCCGAATACAAGGCATTCGAGCATCTGGGGAGCACATGCAAAGGGGGTTAATGCCAGTGTCCCTGAGACCTTTGCGGTTTAAAGCTCTGAGTGTCACTGCAACTGTTATTGACAGGCGTATTACTTAATACCAGGTGCACGACTTGTCCGTCCTGTCACTTGATAAATATGAAAAAAAGATCGACCTCAGGTCGCCGTTGTCTTCATTACACTACATCATTTACCTATTTTTCAGGTGTCGGCGAATTCTGTGAACAAGATAGCGACTGTCTGGCAGGCGAGTTGGAGATCCAATGCGTAGTTACCGATGGCCAAGGGGTGTGTACTTGTCCAGATTGGCTAACCGAGATGGACGGGCTCTGCCTCAACATTGGTTTAGGTGCGTTATATCCTCCTTCATCGTCATCCCACCTTTCTATCGTCCTCTTTTCTGGTTCCTCTCTTTGCTACTTATTTTTGAAATTTCGAATCGTTCTCGAATTCTCTCTTCCTTCAATATTTTCACATCTGTTCGGTCTATCATTATTCCCAAATATGGGCATTTTTAACGCCGGATTTTAATCAGGTTAAAACCCATTAACTCCCAAAATCGAAGGCAAAAACTATTTACAATTAAATATTTGCAAATCGAGTTTTGTTCAAATTAAATCATTAGAAAATGTATATTGCTTGCTTGCATATTTTGCCTTTCTATTGCATCGATCTGCTTGAAAATCGCATTAAAATGAATCGATACAAAAATTCGTTATCGTATACACTTGAAAAGGTTTTCATAAAATTCTATATAATATAATTCTAATTTTAATGTGCATCCCCATAGTCCACAGGGTCAAAACACAAAACTGCGATGCGACGTCGCGTCGCAGAAATCTTATGAACTCGCACGACGTATCGCAAGAATTTGCGAATTATCAATAACAGTAGTGCAATACTCTTTTTACGATCCATGTTGCTACCTAATTTAAAAAATACGTCCAGTACGGTTGATGATCGTCGAGTGGTTAGTGGTAATGATGATGCTTTGACGCACGAAATCGCATCGAAGCAATTCGCGTCGCAGTTTTCTGCGTTGCGAATTCGCGTCTCGCCGATTCGCAGTTTTGTGTTTCGACCCTTAGAAGACATTATGTCATGTTGATAGATTGTTAGTGATTGATTGAATGCCATCACTGCAATTCCGCTGATATTCCAAAAAGACTTACCTGCCATTGCAACTAAGGCCATTCTTACTAAAACTACCATGGAGATTACAACTCATGTCTTAATTTTTATCTCACATTTAGTCTTCAAATCAACATCAACATTACTGTGTTTCGGTTTTGAAGGGTGTCGTGGAAATCTACGATGGGCAACTACGGCGGACGTAAAAATTCAGGACACGATATCGCAAAGTGGTCACGGCGCACGGTACGACGTTGTATCGTAGAAACTCACGGTGCGCTCCCCAATGCCGCATTAATTTGTTATTCAATATTCAAAGATGACAGACGACATTGAGGTTGACTATTTAATAACCCTAGTCGAGGAGCG